ATCCCATTTCTCATGACGGACTCCTTTGCCTCTGTCCACAATAATAATAGTCACTTCCCCTTTTCTAGAAGCCCTCTTTTTTCTTAATTTATTTGATACTACTCTAATATTCCAGTGTATCTATTATTTCATTAAATAATTTATTCTCCAATGGTGCAGATTATAACCCCACCCTGATTCATCAATCTGGTTTACCTTTATCTAAAATCTCCCATAAATTCACCATAGTGGTGTATACCTATAATGCTGGGTTCATTTTTCAAATTCATATTATTTTACATGGAAATCAACAGGGTATGTGGACTGCCTTGGATTGTCCTTATTTTTACTACAATAGAAGACAAAAGGGATTGTGTCAAGGCTCAAGGTTAAATTATATGAGGGTAAATTAAAGAAAATGGGAATGTTTAGCTTGAAGAAAAGATGACTTGGGTATGGAGGGAGGTGGGGTGCGTGATAGTTTTAATTTGTTTGAAGGACTATCCTTTCAAAGAGTGATTAGACTCATCCTACTTGACTCCTAATGGCAGAAGAGGAAACAATGAATTAAACTTACTAAGATGCAAATTTGAGCTTTGTAAAAGGGAAAACTTCCTCATAATTAAAATTAACAAAAAAGTGACATGGACTAGTATAGGTAATAGATTCTATTTTATTAAAGGTATTCAAGCAAGGCTAGACTAGAATGTATCCAATATGTTTTATAGGTTATTTATATCTAGGTTTGTATGGGTCTAGGTAATTTTTCAGGCATCTTCCAAATTTGAGATTGTTATTCTGCATTGTGTTCAGTTTGGGTTGTCACATTTTAAGAAAAGAATTGACAAATCAGAGTGTATCCAGTGGGAAAAAACTAGGATAGTGAGGGGACTAGAAAAGTGAAGGAATCATTTTTAAAAAGTGGGATGTTGGCTTGGAGAAGACTTGAAGGGATATATTCAAATAAGCCAATGGCAGGTATATATTAGAGAGTAATCATTTGGTTGCCTCTTTAATGTTAAACTCAGATTAATGAGTGAAAGTTGAAGGGCAGATATGGATTTGATATAGGGATGAATATTTTAACAATTATAGATATAAAGCAACTGATTGAACAGCTTTGGGAGATAGTGGGTTCCCTTCCACTAATGTTTTTCAAGTGAAGGCTAGATATCTACTTGCTAGAGACATAGTTTAAGGGATTCTTAGTCTGATCATAACTGAATGATATGATCTCTGAAGTCTCTTCCAACTCTGAAATGATGTGAATTATATGAAAGTATACTAACAAATAACATATCTTATTTCATTCTAACTTTAATGTACCTAAAACAAAATCCCTACTCTTTTAGCAACAATATTAATTGCTTTTGATATTGGCATTGTGGCTTCTTTCTAAATATTGTGTGGTCTCATAGCTCTCTCTCCCACTCTGAGTTTGGGATGCCTCCCCCCCCCCCCCCAGTGGGAGAATTGTGATTTTTGTTGATTTTCCCATTATAAGAAGAATTTATGAGATATTACTTCTTTGATATTCTATAGGTAAAAGATATGTTTTCTATTTTAAGGAAAAATAGTCCTTTACCTCCATATCAATATCCTATCTCTCAAGTTATTTGAATTTTTAATATTTATACTGTGGAATTTTGCATAGAATCTTTCCAATTACATGAAAAATATGACATAGTGAAATTCTTGATTTAATGGGAATACATAGTGAATGATGCTGCTGATTTTTCCAACTCCCACATTGGGAGAATTGGTCTGAAGGAAATACTGGTTCAACTATGCACTGCTCCAATCATACCTAAATAAAGTTCCAAATTCCTGAAGTCAGGAGGACCTGAGTTCACTTAGGATAGCTGATTCTCTAGAATAAGTATTGGGAATTGTAAAAATTAAATTAATAATACTCTAAAACTCCAGTTACATTCATTGCATCAGACCCATGTAAATACCCTTTATTTATTTATGGCAACTGGGGTTAAGTGACTTGCCCAGGGTCACACAGCTAGTAAGTGTCAAGTGTTTGGTCCGAGGCCGGATTTGAACTCAGGTCCTCCTGACTTCAGGGTCAGTGCTTTAGCCACCACTCCACCTAGCTGCCCCAAGTAAATTTCTTTTATTTAATCAAATTGAGTAACTTTCAATGTTATAGCATAATTAATTATATTTCAATGGGGAAAAGGTATCATTATCCTTTATAATGAAACTCTATAAAATTGAATTTAAAATATTGGAAAGTATTTTACTTGAATACAAGTACATGCAAAAAGAAATAAAAAAGATTTCCTTTGGGGGCAAGAAAAAACTCTGGGTGAATAAGGGAATTTTTTTTGTTTTATTTCAGGATTTCTGTCTCTTAGCTGCAAAACTTTAAGATATATTGATTTATTTTTATTATGGACTAAACAGAAAAGGGAAACTGTTTACAGATTAATATATTTTATTTCTTATGTGTAAATAAAAGACTGTCACATTTTATTTAATGAAAGAGGTGAATGCAGAACATGCAAATCAATATCCAGTTTAAATGCTATAACCTTTAGTAATTCACAGTTAAATTTATTTAGATAATATAAAATAAAACAACAAAACTAGACAATTTTGGAAAAATACTAGAATGAAAACACAGTGGTGGAAATCTGAGCACAGTGAATCATTGCAATGTACATATATTTGTACATATAACATACATGCACAAAGATCTTGAGTAGGCTTCAGTCCAACAACCTCATTAAGAAACTGAGGATATCACTGAGTCTATAAAAGTGTCTATTTGGGGCAGCTAGGTAGCACAGAAACTGAGGCTCCCAGAGGTAAATTGACTAGCCCAAGGTCTCAAAGTCAGTGTCAGAGGCAGAATTTAAACCCAGATTCTTTGATTCCAGAAGTAGAATTCTGGATCACACTACTTCCTCACCTCATATAGTTGAAGACAAATTAATTGCTGAAATTATGAAGGACAACTAATGAAGAATAATATGTATTTTCCATTTCTATTTTCTGTTTTGTAGGCTGGTCATTTGTTTTATGCGGAATTTTTTTTCATTGTAGTCATTAATGTTCATTAGTAAGTGGCAATGTCTTCAAATTCTGCAATCAAGTTTGAACTTCAAATCTTTCTAATTTTAAAGAAACCTCGGCCAACTTAATCATTTTATTCGCTGATTTCTTAAATGAAGGAATGATGTCTTAGGCACATAGATGAATTGTCTTTTGCAACTAAAATGTAAGCAAAACTTTGAGGAATTAAAAAAATCTATATGTAAATGACTGTTCTAGAACTATGTGTGATACAAAGAAGTATCAATTCCAATTCCACCTTCTCTCTCTCTCTCCCTCTCATATCTATGAAATATGAAATATATGGGTACATTATTGTAAGATGTGAGCAGTACAGATGATTAGTACTATATGAATGAGGTCAATAAACTTATGCAAGAAGGCTCAGATGATGAGCTTGAGCTGGGCCTAAAAGGATAGCAATAATTCTAGTAAATGCAAAGGAAAGGAGAGAATATTGTGGATTACAGGAATTATGTGACCAAAGACAAAGAAATTTGAGCATTCAAACCTTATTTTAGAGTTGTGTAGAGCAGGTTTATTTGTTTATTTTTTAACTGGAGTTGCTGGTTCATGTAGATAGGACTAAGAAAAAAATGTTAGAAAATGTGACTTGAGCTAAACTATGGAAGACTTAGGATACTGGGCCTTTGGGCCCTTTTCCTCTGAGATGTGCAATCCACTGAAAAATTTTGGGCAGAGGAGTAGCATAGTGAAAGTGACATTTTAGAAATATTACTGTGGTAGTGGTATGCATAGTGTATTAGCAATAGTCTAATCAAAGGAGGCCAATTGTGAGGCTGTCAGAGGATGAATAAGATGACATGGGCACGAATAAATTGTCAATGGGATTAGAAAGGAAAAGACAGATACAAAGAACATTACTAATGAAGAAGAGGCAAGAATAAACGATCAATTCAATACGAGGGAAGAGAAAGCAATAGTTGATTATTGTGTTAAGCCTAGGTGACTGTAAGAATGATTATACCATAAACAGCAAGGAAGAAATTAAAATGTGGAATCATTTTGGAGGAAAATGAGGAGATTGATTGCAAAAATGTTCAGTTATGGTAATAATAATACAACTCAAAATATCTGACTGAAAAATTTCAGTGAAGAATAGGAAAATAATAAGTCCTAGAGATGTTGATTTGGAAGCCATTTGTATAGAGGTAGAGTTGTGAGAGTGAAAGAAGAAATATAGGAAATTGTGAAATTTGTTATCCACTGTTGGTAGTTGTTAGCTGCAACATTAATATACCTAATGTAAATAAAATGAAATATTTTTGCATGACCTATAGGACTCAATGAATGAATGTCAACAGGGACATGAAATGTTGATGGCATAAATAAAATTTAATTACATAGAACCAAAAAATTTAAATATAAATATAACATTTTTAAAATTTTAATCCCATCCTCTTTCAGCAAATATCTGATTTTGCCTATGACTATGTTGACATGGAGAATGGAATCTACCATTTTGATTGACTTGTTCCATTTGGTGAATTCATGCAGATTTAAATATTAAATATTAATGTTCAGATTAGTTCTGTGCCTTGACACAGCTTCAATAAAAATAATTTTGGATGTTGATTCCTTTTTTAAAAAGTTGAACTAAAATTGAAAATTACACAGGGATCTTGATTCTTTTTTTAAAAAATAATTGAACTAAAATTGAAAAATACATTTGGTAAAATTTATCACCACTGGCTCTGTTCAAATGTATAAGACAGCTGGCTAATCTCTTGGGGTAAAGAATAAAAGGCAATTGTTTGATAGCAAAATTTAGATCTCAAAAAATCTTAATTCTTGTTGCTTGATATCAGAAACCTTAACCCAATAAAAGGCTAACAGGGAGAGTAGTAGATGTTTTCTTGGGGCAGCTAGGTGGCACAGTGGATAGAGCACGGGCCCTGGATTCAGGAGAAGCTGAGTTCAAATTCGGCCTCAGACAAATAAAACTTACTAGCTGTGTGATCATGGGCAAGTCACTTAACCCCATTGCCTAACCAAAAAAAAAAAATGATGCCTAATAGCTGAAAACTGTTCCATAAATGGATTGTTAATAAAATAGAACATAGATCACTTTGAATTTTACTTATTGAGATACACAGTAATATGGTAATGATGTGTGAATTAGTAATATATATATATGCATAAATGCATATATATGTGCAAGAAGAGTAGAGTATGAAAAGTGAAATAACAGGGTGATGAAACCTGGTTAATTATCCCCTGAATCACTGAGCTGATCAAATAGGGAAGAGGACACATGTTACGTTGATGAAAAATAAGGTTATACTATTCCTAGATAAACAATATACATTTCATAAAGTCATTTACTGAGATGTGATTAAAAAATAAATTTCTAGACTCTAATCAAGGAATTAATCCTTTAGGTAATTTATCTAAATTGCCATCCATTCTACATTTTGCAGGCAAAATCTCATGTGGTGGATTGCCTTGAATTTCATGTAATTTTGTAAGGAAGCTACATATTTTCAAAAATGATTTCTTCATATATTATCCTCATTGGCTGTTTCTTTCTTTTTCTCTTAGTTTTGATTAATCCACCTTTAGCTCGTCTACTGAAACCTATAGGAAGGACAAAAATAAATAATATTGGTTATATAAGGCTTATCAACTTTAAGTTAAAGTATTAACTACATGTCAATGGATGAGTTATCTAATTATCTATTATTAATGGTTAAGTATTAAAATAAATAATTATATATTATTATTATTATTGGGGATGGATAACTGGATTTCAAAGCGGTATGGCTACCACTTGCTGCATCTACATACAGACGAAAAGGACTTTAAAGTCATTGTTCTGAATTAAATAAACATAACATGCTATAGAGATGAGAGAAAGTTCTACTGACTTTTATACTTTCTTCTTCAGAGAGAAATGAATGCATATTTTCAGCAAATTTAAGAAAGAAAAAAATAACCTTTGGTATATTTGTTTTAACTTAAATTTTTAAAAGCCAGAAACTATTAGAAAACCATTTAAAACAACAGATTATCATTTGTAAGCTCCATGTTTTTCCACACATACTCATGTGATCTTTATGGGACAATTATTCCAATTAGTCATGACAGATATTTCCTTAGCTAGGAATAGGATGGAAAGTAGCTTTAAAAAAAGAATAAAGCTTTTACTTTTGTATTAGGTTATGTCTATTTATGTAATAATATAAAGAAGTTTAGTTCTTGGTCAGCTTTCTTATTTAAAATATACTTATATGTTTAATTCTTTGGACATATGCAATTTATTTTAGAGAGGGATTTTCATACCTTTCTTACAAGTCCTGAGACATGATTTTTTAGAAGTGAAATTGTTTTCATTCCCACCACATCCACTGTAGTTAAAAGAACGACATTTTCCAATAGCAGAATTAAAATAAAATCTTTTCTCATTGGCCCTGCAAAGTCCTCTATCTGCAGGAGTCAGACACCAAGAAGGGCCATAGAATTCTAAGAATATTAAAAAAAAATTGTTAGAATGATATAACATGTAATCATGCTCATATCTTCACATTACAATAAATTTATTTAAACATCACATTTTTCTTGTAGACTTTCTTATAGAATGTCTGTGAAAAACCTAAAAAGAATTATTTACAGTTGAGAGATGAACTGCATTTTAGCACATTAAAATCCATTAGACATCCATATAAATGCTTCAAACTCAAAGTGTTCTTTAAAACAAGGCTTTTCATTTCAAGAACATACAATAGAAATTAAAATTATAAAATATAGTACTACGATTATACTTCCTAGACAAAAAAACTAGCAAATATTAACATAAGCCACCACTAAAATTATTTATTAAAGATCGATCACACAACAAAATGTGAGAAGTTAGTGAAAAATCACTATCCTTGTTCTTTCTCATTCACAAAAGCATTGGTTGATATACAGAACTGAAGTATTTTCCTAATGTTCAAAACAGGAAGACTCAGAATAATGACTAAAATCTGTATTCATGGTATGCCACAAACATTTTAATCTGTTTAAGAAAATTTTGAATGGTGCATGAGGATTGCAAAAATAAGCAACGAGTAATATGCAATGAGATTTGCCTTTTCAGTCTTCAAAGCAAGACATACTGAAAAGATTATTAGCCTTGCTGATAGCGTTTTCACATAAAGCAGAAAGGAACTGAAGTCTCAGATCTGGATAATGGTTACATGTTTGGCAGAAGAGAAGGCAATGCCAAAGCTGCTGCCATCAGAACTCCTGGGTCTGTGAAGGAACATGGACCTTCTTCAGAATCAGAAGAGAAAATACTCCAAAAGGTAAAACAGAGATACCCTTACTCCATGAGTAGGGGAATGAGTCTCAGTTTAACAAAAGCAGTTAAATCTCTTGAAAAAGTCTTTCCCTGAGAGGAAATATGTGCTTTCTCTGAAGAGAACAAAAATATCCATCAAGAGTGAAGGAAAAAAGTTGCACAGACAGGATGGAAGGTGGGGAAATTTCAGAGGTCTCCCCATGGGTGAGCTACAGCATAGAAAATGCAAATGAAGAGGGTTTGTCAAGTTGTCAGTGATGATGGGACATAGAACTTGAGGATCCAATAGCCAAAGAGGTTCAGAAAGCAAGAGGCTGCCTGATGGGGAGAAAACCTCAAGGGATTAGGCTGTAAGAGAAAAGAAACAAAATGAGACAATTCTGAAATGGACTTGCAAAGGTTTCCCAATCTTCCCTTTATAACAATCTATAGTGTTTTTAATAATCATGATAGGAGTAATTTTGATATAGCTTTAAGATACGCAAAACATTTATTTGCAAAACACAATACACATTCAGTATCCAAAAATCTTAGTACAGTTTTAAGTTATTAGTGCACCAAGACTTTGGGACCTTGTATAATTTACTTGATCCTCAAAATAACTCTGTGAGGTACGTGCTACCATCTATCTCCATTTCACAGGTGAGAAAAACAAGGTTCAGAAATTTTAGTGGAGTTCACCAGTCACACAGCTCGTAAGTATCACAGTGTATGAATACTTGTTCTTAATTCCAACTATAGCACTTTACTATTATGCTGAACCTCATCCAACTATCTTTTTGTACCATTTTTGCTCTAAAATGTATTGATAGGAAATGCTAGATGTTCTGATATAAAAGCTAATTTATTATGTACTCCTATGCTCTTCTGGGAAATGTTAAATAAAAATGAGGAAAATTATTCTGTGGGCAGAAATAGGGGGAAATTATTACCAAATTACTATTACATTAGACCAAAGTCATTCAGTTTTAATATAGAAGGAATCTCAAGTTGTATTTGAAATCTATAGAATCTGAGATTAAAATGCACTCATGAGTTTAATTAAGAAACAATTTGAGATTGTGCAGTTCCATTTGCACCTCTTCATATTGGGAAACAATAAGATAGTGAATCGTGAGAAAAGTTATGGGATTTTTTGGCAGCATAAATTTCTAATTAAAATAAACATAATTATGCATCTATCCCATAAGTTCTTTATCACCTCTTATTTATAAGATCAATATATGCTTCAAGGATCTATAATTGTTTTGGTATACATACTCTTTCCACTAATGTGGGTCACAATCTGTCCCTACCTTAATGAGTTCTGTGATAAGTTTCTGTGGGATAAAAAATAATCACCACTATGAACTTGGTTGGGTTTGATCTTAAATCAAGAGAGACATGGTATATCACTGGGCCTAGGGCTTGTCAGAGCTTGTGATCCCTTAATATAGCCTTTGAAAACCAATCCCCCAACTCTTCTAATATAAGATGGTCTTCTGCCTTAAGTTCTACACTGTTTCCTCATTTTGCAATAGAGGTGACCCCATCACTTTAAATATGACAAACTTAATGCCTGGGCAGACTAGCTAACTTGTCCAAGGTCACAGAGGTAGGACTTAAACCCACATTTGGAAAAGTCAGTGATCTTTCCACTAAGGAAAGGTAGAACCAAATTGCCTTCAATTGGAAGGACAATATCTTGGAACCTATCTAGGTTCTCTACAGATTTGTTTTGCAAATAATTCAACAGGCTGATTAGGATCAAAGCTCTCTTATCATTGGCCAGTTTGAAATCTAGGTGTCTGCCTTTTATGAGACTAGGACCTTGGCATCTGTGCCCTACTATTGGTAAATCCTTTGTTTAAAAACACCAGTAGAAACAGATATTGAAAACAAATTGTTATTTCATCTTATTTATATAGTCCTAATACCAAGGCAGCTGGTGAATTTAGTGGGGAAATGGAACTACTGGTTTTCTCTTGTTCTATCTACTTCTATTCCTTTCAGTTCTGAGCAAGGAAGGGTAAGACAGGATATCAATGGGACCAGAGGCAGAGGTAGCCAATATCCATTTCATCTTATCAGTGTTGGTTAGAGAAGCAAGTCATATTACCTATAGACACAGTGAACATCTACCACCTTGGAAATTCCCCAAAGTACCAGAGATCAATAGAATTCTCCTTTTACCATCTGATAGGGGCTATTATTTAGTATCACTAATGTAGTCATAATGAGAATATGACTAAAGTGTGTGTGGAAGACACTTTAAGATTTGCAAAGTGCTTTGTACACATTATCTCATTTGTTCCTCATAACAACCCTATGAGATAGGTGCTATTATTAACCTCTTGCTATAGATGAGAAAACTGAGGCAAACAAAGGTGAAGTGGCATAGCTAGTAAGTTAGGAATAGACCTCAGGTCTTTCTGACTCCAGATCTAAGACTATCATCTAGGCCACCTAACTTCTTGTCCAAATCTATAACATGATACGCTTTATACTGTAAGAGCTATCATCTAATTACTACCAACATCAACCCCCAAATAAGTCCCACACACTTATATATTATGACTATATTAGTAGAATCCCATTAAGAGGTTCTTTTAGATAATTTAAAGATTAAATAATCTTATGAGCTTTATAGAGGAGTGTCAGTGATTTCCTAAGAATAACTCGTTAGACATGAAATGCTGTTTTTTTATTTGTCTGTGAGGAACTATGTTTTTTTTTTTTCTTGCTAAATGTTTGGTTCTAGAGGAACACATGAACTTACCTCTTTAATATCAACACTATAGTATCTATAAAAAAAGAAAACAGAAAAGTCTTTAAATCCCACATAAGTGTGAATTTGGTTTCTTTTTTAACATTTAGTGGAATCTGAACATACAATAAAAAGACACTAACCTGGTGTTGCTTTGTTCCCCAAGGAAATACACAAAGCCAAATGGCTTACTGTCTTTAGGATGACATCATGATCATTAACTTGTCTCTGAAGAAACTTTGTTGATAAAGATCAACAAATTCAATCAACATTTCTAAGGTCTGACAAATAGAGCATAGTGCTAGGGACCAAGGAAAATTAGACAAGTACAAGATGGTTCCTAGTTTCTAGCAGCTCATAATATAACAAAGCTTGAAAACTGTAGATGTGGAACCATTTTACCAACTGTAACTTCTATGATCTAACAAAAATAAACAGCCAGAACACAATATTCAAAACTCAGTTCAATTATGTAGGAGGTTTTTTATGTCCTTAATGCCCACTCTATAATTTTGTAATAGTAGTTAACAACAGAAGTAGTAGTAATAATAATAGTTGCAGTAGAAATAATAGTAGTGGTGGTGGTGATGGTAGCAGAAGTAGTAGTACTATAGAAGAAGAAGAAGAAGAAGAAGAAGAAGAAGAAGAAGAAGAAGAAGGAGGAGGAGGAGGAGGAGGAGGAAGAGGAGGAGGAAGAGGAGGAGAAGGGGGAGGAAGAGGAGGAGGAGGAGGAAATGATGGCATCCTATGATTTCATTAGAAAAGGGGACTCCCAATGAGGAGATACTCTGTACCAATATAGAACAGCACTCCAAAATTTAAAATCTCATGGATCTTCCTGGGACACCAAGAGGTAAAGTGACTTGCCTAGGCCCAGAGCCAGTATATATCAAAAGCAGGAATTATAATTCAGGTTATTCTGACACCATGGCTCTATCTCTATCTGCTGTTACTCTAGTTATTTTAACTTTAAATAAAAGTTTAATCTTTTAATTGTACTGACCTAAATTTAGTATCACAAAAAGTAATGTAAATCACATCAACTTTGATTTAAGAAATAGTGAAGTAGTTGACTTGATTTAGATATCATTCAATAAATATGTTGCTACATTATTCTTGCTTTTTTCCATCTTCCCAGAAAAATTGGTTTGTCAAAGGATGTAGAATGGGGAAACTTAAGTTAGTTTATTCAGGAACAATTTATTATTATTATTATTATTATTATTATTATTATTTTCTGGAAAATATTATCCCAATTATCATTTGATAAAATAATAATAGTAATACTTTATATTTAGATGATTTGCCAAGCACACTAAATCAGAAAGCCACAATTTTGCTTGGTAAGTCAGCAGAGAATGGGGAAATATTCTGAGGGACTCATTTCGGTACCTCTTGAAGCACTAAGCTAGAATGGAGATGAAGCTTTGAGCA